GTGCTGTCCTCCTGCTGAGCTCTGCAACTGGGCTCTTGCAGATGTAAGGGTGCCCTCATCCCCTCACCCCTGTGCCCCTCCACAGCCCATACATGTTTCAGGAGCTCTTGGGAAGCAAGAGGGCTCAGGCCACTCCTGCACCTTTGGGGTTCTGACTTCCTGCAAGCCTCGCCCCAGGGAGACCACGAGGGAGGACACGTGATTCCCATTCACAGGATGCTAAAAGGGTCCTGCCAGGCCAACCCCTAGGTTTTGCACCTTTCCCCAGAACCGTGAAACCATGGCATCTTAGACGTGGGAATTAATCTCCTCCTACTCACAGTTTAGGAGCGAAGGAAGGGGCCACCTGTGTGGCTCAGTCGGTTAAGCGTCAGACTTCAGCTCGTGATCTTGCGGTCCGTGAATTCAACCCCGCGTCGGGCTCTGTGCTGACCGCTCAGAGCCTGGAGCCTGCTTCCGATTCTGTGTCTCCCTCTCTCTCTGCCCCTCCCCCACTCACACTCTCCCAAAAGTAAGTAAACATTAAAAAAAATTTCTTTAAAGACCGAAGGAGAAAAAATAAATAAATAAATAAATAAATAAATAAATAAAGACCGAAGGAAGACAAAAACCCATCTCCGGTGCAGGGACATAAAAGCTTTATCCCCCCTCGGGGGCTAGGCATTCGGGGGACAGGCAGGACGAATCTGCAGCAGTGATAGCACAGGACGGACGTCAGCGGTGAGACCCTGCAGCCACTTCGCCTCGGCGGTTTCACTCCAGGCAGGTTCAGACGGCGGCTTTTCTTCAGGGGCTGCGTGTTTGCCGCTGCTTTCCAAGGGCAGATTCGGCTTCCAGAACCAGAACGCCAGGAGGCAGTGGGAAGGGGATTTTAGAGTCAGACAGACAGCTGAGTTCAAATTCTGCTCCACTTGTAACTCTCCGGGTGACCCTGGGCGTGCGTCCAGGTCTCCGCTTCCTTGTCTGTAACCCGCCAGTCTAACCGGACCCTACCGCCGGGGTCTCCAGGGAAAACAGGGCTGCGCCAGCCGCCCGAGGTCAGCTCCAGGGAGCCGGCCGGACTCCGTACGGAGGGTGGGCGGCATTACGGAAACCACACAGCAGCTACCCGGGGGGCACAGCTACTTCGTGCTCCGGCTCTAAAGCAGGAGGGAGCCGAGGGGAAAACACCCGACCTTTCCCTGCTCTGCCCTCATCTCGGGCACGTGCCTCCCACCCGGAAACCGCCGGGCAAGGGAGCCTGGGAGATGTAGGCGCGAGGCAGGCGGAGCGTGGACGGATAGCAGGGGTCGGCGGAGAAAATGGATCCTACCCAGCGTGTTATCCGTATTTTAGTCTTGTTATGAGGACCAAAACTGACGTATGTAAAACGCTTAATTCGTAGCCTGATGCATCGTAGGGTCTCAACAAATGGACGTTATTTCTCATTATGCCTATTCACAGTTGGGGTCTTTCAGGCAGCAGGTGTCCTGCCTTATTTTCACACAAAGAGCCCCCCGATACCCCTTAGACACCTGGTGCATGCTGTGACTTGTGGAGGTAGAAACCTACTATGACACCAAGCTTGCCCTCGGGGAGAGAAGACACGGTCATTGACACCCATGAGACAGGAAGACAGAAGGTGACGAGAGTCACATAGACATGACTCACCTTCCCAGACGCAAGGTCCTCTAAGTCTGGGACCACAGCTTCTGGGTCTCTTGTTTTCTGTTCTACTACATTTAAAAGCTTTTTCTTCTTCCAATAAGATTCTAATTAGAATTCCTGCATATTGTAGAAAACACAAACCTTGCGGAAAAGCGTAAAGACGAATAAAAATTACCCCTCCCTCCTCTCCAAAGATAAGCACTGTTATATTTTTACGAAAATCCCTCCTGTGTGTTCTGTTTTATAAAGTTGGCCTCATGTTAGATATGCAATTTTGTATCCTGGTTGTTGTTTGGGGTTGGGGTTTGTTTTTTTTTCCCACTCCTTTCATAAGGATTGAAATTGCTCCAAAAATATCTTTTAATGACTTCATAAGAGTAAATCACATGGTTGGGAATATCAGCTCTGAATCAGGAGTCTCACGTCTAATTGCAGCTTCACCAGCTCTTAGCTGCATGACAATGGACAAGTTACTTAACTTTCCCAAGCGTCAGCTTCTGCGTTTGTTAACTGCCCCGGGGGAGGATAGAGTGGGCATCTTACAAAGTTGTTGTAAAGAGAAATGAGATAATTATGTGAACCGATGAGCTCAGTGTCTGGGACATGGTAAAAAGCTAAATGGTAGTTATCATAATGGTCATTATTAGTCTATAGTCTTTCCTCCAAGGTGTTTCTGATTTGTTTTTAGTTAAGTAATCCTGCGATGACACTTTCGAATTCAAATATCTTTCCATAATTCAACTTTTTCCTTAGGGTACATAAAGTTATACTCCCAGGTACAAACGCTTAAAAGTTAAAGGCCTGGAGCCGGGTGGCTGGGACTTACGTCTAGCTGTGTGATACGGGAAAAGCCACGTAACCTCTCTGTGCTTCAGTTTCCTCTCCTCTAAAAGAACGTGATAATAGTGTCAGCTGTTGTGAGGATTACATGGGATAAGAGATGCAAAGTGCCTGGCACAGGTGAACAAAATAAATATTAGCCAACGTTGTTATCATGCATACTGGCAATTATACTCCTTTATCCCCAACAGCTTTTAGCACTGGACTGAGCACCAGGAGACTTCAATGAATACGTATTAAATTGGGTTAAATTTCATTGGTAGGGGTGTTCCTTGAGTTCTCGGGAAGATGGCCTGCCCCCTCATTAGGAGGTTAACCCTCAGGCCGTCTTCCCACCCGGTCCTGTCCTCATCCAGTCCCACCCGCAACTACGGCCTGCATCTTTGGGAGGACATTTCCCTTTGCCTCTGTTCAACTTGTAACACTGTCTGCCTGTTACAGGGTTCTCTTGACAGACCGCAAATAGCATAAAGCCTCTAGGAGGCTCCTGGGATGATAGGCCAGGGTCCCTGTCTCCATCACTGCCACCAGGGCTGAAGAACCCTTTCTGGAACCTGGGCCCATAGCCTTGCTCTTATTTCTCGCCCACAGCCTCACAGTCCTGAGAGCATCGAACGACTGTATTCCACGCTTAAGGATCTGGCACCCATTATGCACAGGGCCCTGTCTGCGGTGCCAGATGATGCCCAAGCTGGCTCCTACCTAAAGCAGAAAACTCACGGCCTATAAATCAACTGTCAGTGTTTGGTTCTTGCTGGGAACATAAAAATATATCAGTAAACTTTGGTGCTTCAGAGCAAACCCTAGAGATAACCCCAGGAACATAAGCAAATCCACTATAACACCAAATGAGAAGGTTGATTTATGTCAGCAGGTCAGGCTGGGTAACTAACCCAGAATGCCAGTGACAGAGGCACACCAGGACACTGCAGCTGGGGTGTTGGCAAACACACCATGAGCTGCCGCCGGGTTTGCCCGTAGCTGTCGGCCTCCAGGAGAAATGCATCATTTGGCAGGTAGTAGGTTGATTCACGAAGGTAATGAATTTCCACATGCTGGCTATATGGGATGGATGAGTAAGTGGCTAGTTCCATGCTTCCCAGTGGGAATTCTACAACACAGCTTGGAGCTCAGGTCTAGGGTTCTCAGAGGTGACTTTCAACCTGCTTAATGTTAATACCCTTCGTGTGACCCCATGCAAACTGTCAGTTTGTTCATCCCAGAAAGTTTATTAGACACCTATTATGTGGAAGGCACTCTATCAGAATTAGTGGATTAATTACTACCTAGAAGAAGAAAGGCAAATACACAGGAAGCATGTCATAAATCCCTCTCCTCTGCCCAAGGCAGACACCAGTCTTCCCAAGAGCCTGGGTATAGCCTCAGAACCCCTCTCAACATAGGGCTCTGGGCAGTCCTATCAATCATTTGGACTTGACATACCCTACGAAACCTGATTGCCATCTTGGAGCTAAAACACCACAAGTACTTAGAGAATATGGGGACAGCAAGAGAAAAGTCCAGGCAGCAACCAGCCATTTTGGAATGAGTGGGGTAATTTTGAAAACAGCCCAGTAGGTGGTTGTGACAATGTAGGGTAAGTCAAGGCCATCTTAGGAGCCTTAGCAGTAGGCCAACCTAAGAGTCAGACTCTGCTAAGTGATCTTGAACATGTCTTTTCACCTCCTGGGCCCCAGGTTTCTTATTTATAAAAGGGGAAGGATGATGACAATACTTACCTCATAGAGTTGTTATGATGAGCAAATGAGACAATGCCCTGTGAAGTGTCTAACAAACCTGTCTAATGGCAAGGAGTGTACTTGTAGTAATTAGACATAGACCAGATTTAGGTAAAGAAGAGTAAAATAAGTTCCCCTCTCTAAACAGCCCAGTAGAAGCTCAATTCTGAGCATTTGATAAGATGGAAAAATTTTAGGCCCAAGTGCCAGAATTAGAGTTATCTTATTTCCATCAGAAAATGTGCTCATTGACCCCCACAGAGCCAGTACCCAGGAACTGCCCCAGCATATAGAGATGTGGTCATGAGGGCATATGCTTCTTAACTAGCACTCTGTCCCTCCCAAAAGTGACTACATCAAACAGAGGCAAAGGTAAAAATTGGCACTGGGTTCTCCTGCTTTTGTCAGATGCCTAAAAGGTGATAATATCCTTCCTATCTTACTAAATACATGGAAGAGTCTAACAGGACTGTATGTAGAAATGGGTGAGAATGCTACACCATATTCCTATTCTGCCTTCTTCTGTTGGATAGTAATTATTATATTACAAATACACCATATGTCCTCTGTAGACATTTAATAAATAGAGAAAGAAAAAGAAAATATATAAAGCATTCATAATCCCAACACCGGGGGGGGGGGGGATGTTGGTATCAATCCATCTAGACTTTTCCCTCTGTATTTTTAAATTTTAAAAATATGAGATTTTTAACTTAAAAAATCCACTTAAAATCTCTTTCTCTCTCCTCCTTCCCCTCCCCCTTTCCACTTCAGTGTATCATTACCAGTTCAAGATCCAGTTCATCAACTACCTTGAGAAACCAGTAGAACCAACTTTTACTATGACACTCCTGGGAACAAAAGAGGAAAACCGGAAAATTACCATCTCTCTGTGAGTACAGGTGCAGCCCCATCTATGGTGATGACATGCTGCTTTTTTTTGCAGGATCTAGATGGACCCTGTCCTTTTCAAGGGTCAGTTTACTCTTCTCAGTCCACATGACTGCCCCAAACATTTGTCAGACGGGACGTCCCCCCGAGCCCACTGCCTTGTCACCCCTCCTCAGCCTTACCCAGTCCTGCAGATTCCTTTATGATGGAACTGCCTGGGTTTGCGATGGCTCATTCCCTGCAAGCTGAGTGGAGAGCGAAGCCAGAGGTGGCGAAATCCATCCACAGTGCAGGAAGAAGAGCCAGGCAGGGAGGAGCGGGGAGGGCTGGAGCAGATGTCCACAGGATGGCCGAGTTCCTTTCCAGTGAGTTCTGAAAACCATAACACAGAAACAAAACCAGTTTCAGCTTGGCATACATTTCCCATCTCGGCAGCCTGCACTGCCAGCCTGCCCATCTGTCCTTTGCCCTGTTACACACCTGTTCACAATGCAAACAGTGGCCTCGGCCTCCCTCGGAGGCTCACCAGCTACATGGCCAGAAGAAGGCTGCTTTTTCTACACATCTCCACCCTCAGCATGAGGGTCTTCCTCAGCGACACCCCATCCACTCCAGGGTCAGTCCTCAGTTCTGGAAAATGTCCCCTAGCTCTGGATCTCTGATCATCACACTGATTCTATCATCCAGCAAGTATTCGTGCTCTGTCCCGGAGGTAGAGAGGACCCTAGCCCTAGGATCTCACAGCCGAGCTGGGCGGATGGGTTCCTGAGCAATTCTTTACAACATTCTGCAGGAAGGGTGACAACAAGCTGTGCAGGGGAACCCTCCATCTCCCTGTCTCACCCCAAATCCAGTGTTAACTCTGCACTGCTTTAAATCTCTCCCGGGGAGTAGCTCCACGGTGGGAAGTCGCTGTGGCTTTCCATGCTGCTCAGTCAATGTTGGGACATGTTAATGTCTTGGAGATTAGTGAGTAAACCTGCTAATGATACCTAAGGATCTGCATTTAAATCTTGTTCCAAACTGTTCCATCACTTAAACATGTGGTTTTCTATTACTATTATACTTTGTTGTTTCTTTTTATATGGAGAGGGGGGGAAAGCTTTAGTGGGGAAATAAGAGTGTGGTGTGGCTCTACGGTTACTCAAACCTGCAGGGAGCTGAACTGCCCTGAGGTCATTGCCGAAGCCCCACTGTCTTCTCTTTCCTGATGTGTTAGAGTTGAAGTCAGAAAGCCTGAGCTAAGCAAAGTTACCAGATTCATTATGGCAGAACTCTCAGCCTTTTAAATATGCTAACACAGGGGCACTTGGGTGGCTCAGTCAGTTAAGCATCCGACCCCTGATTTGGGCTCAGGTCATGATCTCACAGTTTGTGAGTTCAAGCCCCACATAGGGTTCTGTGCTGACAGTGTGAAGCCTGCTTTGGATTCTCTCTCTCTTTCAATCAATCAATCAATCAATCAATAAAAAAGGCTAACACAGAATGAAGCATGGTTTTCCCAATATTAATAGACTGGCACACCTATTGCTTTTTCTATTAATAGTATGTCCAACACCAATTTGGGAAAGGCCCCAGAAAAGATCTTCCCAAGTCACTCAGGCAAGCCAAACACATCCTGAATGTGCCCAAACATGACTTTGCTGTTACAGATAAACTGGGTCTGATTTCCTTTGTATCTTCAAGGGATCAAGAAATTACTAGTAATAAAACCTATTCCTTCCTTATCACGTTGGATTTGGATATCGGTGAGCTGATCATGATCAAGTTCAAGTGGGAAAATGGTGCAGTATGGACCAATGTCTGGAACACGGTCCAAACCATCATCCCTTGGAGCAGAAAGCCCCTCTACTCGGGCCTTGTTGCAAAGACCATCAAAGTCAAGGCGGGAGAAACCCAGCAACGGTGAGTACAGACACAGCCTTCCCTGACATCCATCAAGCACCTGTATGTGCCAGCACTTTCATAATTAGTACTCACATTTATATCATAAAGTGGGCATTATTGTGTCCTAATGATGGCTCACAAATGCTCAGAAATGTGAAATGACCATCCTGAGTTCACACAGCCACAGGAGGAAGGACCAAGATTTGTACCCAGGTCTTCTGACTCCCAGTACAGCCTCTTCCCACTGCTTGTGGTTAACAGCTACCTGCCTCTGGAGTTTGAGAAGCCACCTCACTGGCCCACTGCTTTTCAAACTTCTACATGCAGGTGAATCACCAGATGTTTAAGGACCGCACTTTGAGTGGCAAGGACCAGGGAGTGACGTTTCCTTTTTCTTGTTCACCCAGAGAAATGCTTGTAACAGATCACAGTCTCAAAATCTCATTCTTTGATGGCACCTTTCAAATCTTAGAGTGCCAAAGAGTCAAGGGAAGTTTATTAAATATGCAGATTCCCGAAGCCACCTCCAGAGCTTTCGTGGCGGTTTGTGAAGGGACCCAGGACACACATTTGCTAATAAAAGCCCTACGAAATTCTGATGTGTACCAATGGAGTAGCCTTAAGAAATGCTGCTGTGTGATTTAACATCTCCTTTGGCCCCAAGATCCCCAGGGACAATAAGAGGTTGGGGATAGAGTAGGACATAAAAGAAAGGGTGGTCCAGCTGTCCCTTCAGTCCTATCAGCAGAGCAAAGGGATACCCAGTGTATTTTGCCATGGCAACCATGCTTTTCTTTTTTTTTTAATTTTTTTTTTCTGAAAGAGAGAGAGAGACGGCATGAGCAGGGGAGGGTCAGAGAGAGAGGGAGACACAGGATCCGAAACAGGCTCAAGTCTGTGAGCTAGCTGTCACCACAGAGCCCGATGCGGGGCTCGAACGCACAAACCATGAGATAATGCCCTGAGCCAAAGTCGGATGCTTAGCCCACTGAGCCACCCAGGCGCCCTGTAACCATGCTTTTCTATAGTTCTGCTTCTCCATGAAAGGAGAATTCTGTCCTTCCCCAGACCCTTCCTCCTCCTCCCCCACTGTGTTCAGGAAACTTGTCTCTCCTCTCCCACCTTCCTTTGTTGGAAAACCCATTCATTTCACTCTTTGGCTTGTCCCTAGTAGAAATGGAAAACAGCAGGCCTCTCCCCTCTGAACTACATTCCTCCCTCCCCCACAGGCTTCATGGCCAGGAGCGGGCCCATAGCAGATTTATGCCCGGGAGTCCTTTACACAACAGCACTCTGAGATTTTATCTCCCTGGGATACAAAATCCTGGCAATTACTAAGAGCATACTCTGAAGCCTGCCAACAGATTTCTCCACATGATCAATTTGAGAAAATTAAACTGTTTCTCTCCTCGTATACACTTAGCTATTCTTGCATGACTTTCTGGCCCTTTAGAAGAGCTCTACTTCTGAAAACCACCCCTCCTCGCATTCTCTCAGCTAGATGGTAATTCCTCAGTTCTAGTGGCTGTTCACCATGACAATTCTCTGTGACTTGACCTGAAAAGCTGTATAAAACACAACACAACCTTCTCACTGATGCTTACCCACATGGTTCTGAAGAAGGAAAGGGCAGAGGGAAGGGAACTGTGCTTACAGAGCTCCCACTGCATGGTGGGCACAGAATTAAGTCTGGAGTGTTAGTCTCATGTAACCTTCCCAATGATCCTCTGAAATGGGTAGGAGTGGTTGTGCAGATTAGGAAGCTGAGGCTCATAGATAGACATTACACAGCTTGGGCTGATAATTGTCTAGGCCCAGAGCTGACTCCAGGTTTGTCTGATTCATTGCCTATTTACTGCCCGTGCACTGTTTCCAGCAGTCCCTTCCTCTGTTAATCTTGGCCCCACGAATCTGATGCTCCTTAGTCTAAACCAGCAGAGTTGAAGTGCTGGACATTAATATACATGCATATCAAACCCTCCAGCTGTAAGAGGTACATGCTGGAAAAAGGGGAGGGATTGTGGGACCTATCATTTTTTTAAGTTACAAGTATTCACTGCCTCCCTGTGTGTCTTCACGGTATGAGGTACCATTAGGGGATACCAAAAAAATCTGAGTTGTGGCTCTTGGCGTAAAGAAATTCCAGGACCTAATTAGGAAAACAAGATGCATTAATTTTACTAATAGCATGCCCCATCTCAGTGTTCTCAAGCCTTAATGTGCACAGGAATCATCTGAGAATCATGTTGAAATGCAATTAAAATGCAGATTGAGTGGGGCCTGAAATTCTGCATCTGTAACAAGCTACTGATGCTACTGATGCTGCTGGCACACGGACCACACTTTGCATACCTGAAGGTCTAGTACTGCATGATCCAGGAAGCCTAGAAGGAAGACATCAGGTCGGTGGTGCTGTGCTACAACAGGCTTTAGGGAGGCCAGGAGGCATTCCCAGAGAGACAGGCAGCGAGCAAAGCAATATGGTAGGCGGAATCCAATGGCCCGCGTCTGCCTCAGCTCAAATTCCTCTTGCAGCTCACCACCTGTGCAGCCTCAGACACTAACTGCACTGCTCTGGACTCAGTTCTTCCGTGATAAATGGAATTTATAATATGTATCTCATGAGACTAATAACAACTACCAAGTTTTGAGCACCTCTACAATCCATAATCCCAGAGCCAGGATGTAAATATTCAGCCTCATAACTCTTAATCTCTCTGTTAACTATAAGGGAGAAAAATGGTTAAGTAACTCACTCTGTGCTTCCATGGGAGGAATCCAATGAGAGGTGATTTTCTCTTCCAAAAACAGAGTCAGGGATGAAAGGGCCCATTGTGGTTGAAGAGATAGGACAGATAGCATTGATTCTACAGCAGGACATAAAAAGCAATCGGCTGAACATAATGAGAAAATGTTCAATTTTCACAGTAATCATGTAAATGCAAAAAAAAGTCAATGAAATTAGCACTGGTCACCCATTAGTTTGGCAGGAATTAAAAAACAGACAATATCCAGAGTTGGAAAAGGAGTGGAGACATGGGCAGTCTCATACACTGTTCATGGGAATATAAATTATGGAGCTTCTACAGGGATATTTCAGTCATGACTAACATTCAATGAGCACCTACTGTATACCAGGCACTGTAGATGCAAGGTAAGCAGCACTGAACAGAATAGACAAAGCCCTCTGTCTTATGGAGCTTACATTATCAAAATTTTAAATATCACTAATACCCAGAATTTTAACTCTAGGTGTCTGTCCTGGAGAAATACTCAAAATATCCATAAAAGATATATAGGTGTAAAAATGTCTATTGTGGTACTGTCTGTAAATGGTAAACCATTAGGAAAATCTCAATGTCCATCAAGAGGAAAATGGATGGCTATAATATGCTGTCATATATCCATTCAATGGGATGTAGTGCAGGAGGTGAAAAAGAATGAAATCGATTCATATGGACCATTATGAACAGGTCTCCAAGTACATTACTTGATGACAATGAAAATTTTCAGAAAGATGCATACATTATACATATATTACATACAAAAATACATACATTATAATCCCACTTATATTAAGAATTCTTTCTGTTTGCATATAAACATTGATATATGTGTAAATGCAAAGAAACAGGTCTGGAAATATGTAAACCACACCAGAAAAGTGGAGGAGAGTGATATTGATGAAGGGTGATGGCAAAGAGGACCTTTTAATATTTTTTTTTCTAGGAGAGAGAGAGAGAGAGACAGCATGAGCAGGGGAGGGTCAGAGAGAGAGGGAGACACAGACTCTGAAATAGGCTCCAGGCTCTGAGCTGGCAGTCAGCACAGAGCCCGACGCGGGGCTCAAACCCATGAACCGCGAGATCATGACCTAAGTGAAAGTCGGACGCTTAACCGACTAAGCCTCCTGGGCGCCCCAAGGACCTTCTAATATTTGACTTCACTTAATATCTTTACCATTTGAATTTTTCAAAACTGCATTCACAAATTACTCATAATTCTCTTTATTTTAGCTTTCTTGAGATAAATTGACAAAATCAAGATATTTAAAGTGTACATCAGTGTGACTTGATATATGTACATGTGTGAAAGGATCCCCCCCATCCAGTTAACTAACACCTTCATCACCTAATGCATATATAATCCAGTGTTACCAATTATAGTCACTGTGTTTTACAGTAGATCCTCAGACCCTATTAATCCTATAGCTGAAAGTTTGTACACTTTTATCAACCTCTCCCTATCTCCCCTCACTCCAGGCCCTGGGAATCACTTTTCTACTTTGTTTCTATAACTGTTAATTTTTTTTTTTGGATTTCACATATAAATGATACCATGCAGTATTTGTCTTTCTAGCTTATACACTATTTTAATTATAAAACTCTGATTTAATGAAGACTTAACCTTAAATGTAATTCAAAAAAAAGAGAAGAGAGAGAAGAAAGAAAGAAAGAAAGAAAGAGAGAGAGAGAGAAGAAAGAAAGAAAGAAAGAAAGAAAGAGAGAGAGAGAGAGAGAAAGAAAGAAAGAAAGAAAGAAAGAAAGAAAGAAAGAAAGAAAGAAAGAAAGAAAGGAAGAAAGAAAGAAGGAAGGAAGGAAGGAAGGAAGGAAGGAAGGAAGGAAGGAAGGAAGGAAGAAGGAAAGAAAGGAAGGAAGGTAGGAAGGAAGGAAGGAAGGGAGAAAAAAGAAAGAAAGAGAAGAAAAGCCATAACCTAGAATTCTTTGTGACTATTAATACTTTTGTCCTAGTAGATATAAGTTAGCAACAACACAAAACAGCATCTCAGGCCAAGCTAATGAACGGTCAAAGCAGGTCTAACGGCCGGTCTCCAAGAGAGACCCAAAAAACACATAGTGATGTCTTCTCTAGCTGGACAGTGTCTGCACCAGTAAGAGGAAGGGGCTGGCCTTACGGGGCTGAGCCCAGCAGAGGCTGGTGACAGTGGCCTCATTTCCCGGGGGCCTTTAAGAACAGCCCTGGCAAACTGGAGCCTGTCCAAAGAAGGAAGGCTGGGGAGAGAAGCCTGCCCTGTGGGGAACAGTTGAAGGGACTGCAAATGTTTGCCCTGGAGTCAGGGCAATGCAGTGAAAGGAGCAATAGTCACCATCAAATCTCTGATGAGCTGTGGTTAGGGAGGAAAAAGAACAGCCCCGAGGACTTTCTGTTCTCGCAGAGCTGAAATCACCCCAGTGCAGAGCTCTAGGAAGCAGCCTTACACTGCTTAACCCAGTCACTGACTTGGGTTTGGTTTTTCTCTGAAGTTATGAAAATATTTGTGAACATAAGAATCTAATGTTTTAAGAATAGCATGCATTACATAAATTGAGCATTTATTTACAAAGGATGAAACACTTCAATAAGCTCCATCTAAAAGCTAATGCTCTGTTTGCTTTATGTTTTCTATTCAGAATGACATTTTGCTCAGAAAGCACGGATGGCCTAAAACTCCAACCAACCCAAGAGAAAACGTTTGTAAGATGTGACAGAAACTCTAAAAAGCTGAAGAGAAAGATCAGATGAGCTTTAATGAAGACCCAATGTGAAAAACAAATGATCTTATTCCTTTTCTGGAATGGTTACTTTATTTGGAAACCCAAGTTATGTAAACAATCTTGCATAAAGTTGAAATAAAGCTTAGATTTAAAGGGGGTGCATGGTTTCACTATTCTAAACTGAGCTTTTAAAAACTATATTATGGGGGTGCCTGCGTGGCTCAGTTGGTTAATCATCTGATTCTTGGTTTCAGCTCAGGTCATGATCTCATGGTTGGTGAGTTCAAGCCCCACATCGGGCTCTGTAGTGATGGCGCGAAGCCTGCTTGGGATCCTCTGTCTCCCTCGCTCTCTGTCCCTCCCCCCACCTCTCTCTCTCAAATAAAAAAGTTTTTAATGTTTTTTAATGTTTATTTATTTTTGAGAGACAGAGAGAGACAGAGCATGAGTGGAGGAAAGGCAGAGAGAGAGGGAGACAGAATCCGAAACAGGCTCCAGGCTCCAAGCTGTCAGCACAGAGCTCACAAACCATGAGAGCATGACCTGAGCCAAAGTCAGACGCTTAAATGACTGAGCTACACAGGTGCCACAATAAAAAAACATTTTTTTTTAAAAATAAGACAAATATAAATACATATACATTATGTAACTATATTCAAATATTTGTATAACTAAAAATTTCCCAATTAGGTGTCTGATTAAATGGTAATATATGCAAATATAAGTACACATAAGAGCCATTAAAGATTCTTTGTCCTCATTTACAATGTATTTTATGGTTAAGTAAAGTTTCCCATATTTCCTGCCTAGTTTATCTGGATCCGTTTTTTGAACCATGCTGGAAAGGTACTTCTTTATTACAAAACTGATGCTTCAATAAAATGAAATTCCAATTAATCACTAGTTGTATGTCCCAAAGTACACATCTCTTAAGACAATTCAGCTCACTAAAAGAAAAATTCTAATTAAACTAGTAGCTGCCATCATACAAATTATACAACTATTTCACTGAATCAAACCAATAAAAGTAGAATTCTCCTAAAACTATAATGATAGCATGAAAGCTGGATGGTTGGTCACTCTAACAATTAAATTACTATGGCATAAGCACAATTTTTCTCATTCATTAATGCTTACATTAAAGAGTTAGATATCAAATTTCAAACTGTCCAATAAACGCAAGAATGATGCTTTAAGAAGCAAATTCCATCACAAAGCATGGGAAGGAAATACTAGACATGTCATGACTTGGATATGTGTTTCAGGCAACTCAGAGAAGAAGAACACACCATGCACGCTGAACAACCTTACCTGACATTCACATAGGCTCAGATCTGCACAGCTTGTAATCTTCCTGCTCTTCTCAGAGGTGGATACACCAGAGCTGGTGAAAAACAAATCCCTAAAAGATGTCCGCCTCTGATGCAATCAATCTGAAGACTGGAAAGACCTATTCTTTCCCTTGAAAAGACCCCCAAAACTAAAGGATGGGGGTGGTGATGTGGGAAGGAAGAACAGGTTGGTCATTGTCACCTTCTGTCCTGAATGTTAATCTTACCTGCAAAAGCACCTGATCACACTTTTAGGTAAAGTGTGTTATGTGTGTGTCTGGAAATGATAGATAGTAAAATGAACAATGTGTCCCATCATGTCTAAAATACCAATATTTGGGGCACCTGGGTGGTTCAGTCAGTTAAGCGCCTGGCTTCAGCTCAGGTCATCATCTCAAGGCTAGGTGAGTTCGAGCCCCGTGTCTGACTCTGGCTGACCACTCAGAGCCTGGAGCCTACTTGGGATTCTGTGTCTCCTTCTCTCTCTGCCCCTCCCCTGTTCACACTCTGTCTCTCAAAAATAAATTTAAATGTTTAAAAAATTTTAAATACCAAGATTTACAATAAAATTACATTTGCATTGAATTGGCATGCTTTATCATTTACTGAACCAGAAGGAATTTAAAATATCACTTTTTAAAAACAACATGAAAACACTCTTAGCTATAAACCCTACCAAGTCTATGCACATGTATGCCAGGAAGCATAGAAAAGAAAACTCATATCAGTTTTGAAGTCATGACAACCAGAAACAGCCCAAATGCCTGCCAGTGTGACGCGTAAATGAACTATGGTATATTCTTACTAATGGAATGCTAACCGGCAGTGACAAAGATGAACTAAAGCTGCACACGCAACAGGAACAGGGCTGACTCTAGGGTGATGATATTCAGTGAGGCACCCAGGGTGCCAAATTTAAGGGAGCGTTCATGAGTTTGTATATCCGCACAAAGGCACAAAAAATACACATACGGTATAATACAAGCAAGACTAGACTATCATTGTTAGAGATGAATACACAAGTGATAAAATCCTAAGTTAAAAGCAATAATACCAACAGGCACGACAATGACACTGTGGTAGCTCTAAGGAAAGAGGAAGTGCCCACCAGAGTTCCAGGGGCCAGCAAGACGGTACTTCTCACTTGGGTGGGAAGGCTCAGGTGTTCATTTTAATAACCATTTTTTAAACTACATATGTATGGTATGCACTCACTTTTGGTATCACATTTGCAATAGGGAAAAAAAACAAGGTGAAGCAGAGAGTCAAAACCAACATTTGTCTACTACAGTGTGATGTGTTTTTTTTTTTTTTTTAATTTTTTTTAATGTTTTTATTTATTTCTAGGAGAGAGAGAGAGAGACAGCGTGAGCAGGGGAGGGTCAGAGAGAGAGGGAGTCACAGACTGAAACAGGCTCCAGGCTCTGAGCTGGCAGTCAGCACAGAGCCCGACGCGGGGCTCGAACCCACGAACAGCGAGATCATGACCTAAGCGAAAGTCAGACGCTTAACCGACTAAGCCACCCAGGCGCCCCGAGAGAGGGAATCTTAAGCAGGCTCCATGCCCAGCATGTAGCCTGATGTGGGGCTTGGTCTAAGGACAATGAGATCATGACCTGAGCCCAAGGAAATCAAGGGTCATAAGCCACCCAGGCGCCCCCAGTGTGATGTGTTTTGATATGAATGTCGTTTCACACAAAATACAATTAGAAATTATTTCGTCTTTAGAAGGAAAACCTGAAGCAACACAGCACGTCATAACATTTGAGGCAGAGAACTCAATAAGGAACCAACATGACAAATGGTTAACTGGAACATTCGAAACTTCTCTTGGCATGGGTTATTTTCACTTGGGAAGATGTGTTCGTCGACATCCCATTTTCTGAAGTACGTCTTGGTAGGCAAGTCAAATAGGGAGACTGAATAATGCAGCCACATCTGTTCATCGCACATGCAAAATGCTGGCTCGTGCACTGATTATACGCACCTCTCTCCAAAGAATCTGTATTTATGAGCCCACTTAGAAAAGATAACACTGGCATCCTGCCTTTCAGGGAAAAGCCTATTTGTGCTTTTACTTCTAAGAGAGCGCAAGGAAAGAAACAGAGGAGCATCAATTACACTGCAGCTGGGCTCTTGGAGGTGCCTGAAGTGAAAGAGGAAGAGACAAGCACTCCATTCAACTCAAAATGAATGCTCTCTCCTCCAGAGCAAAGCTGACTGTCCTCAGTGTTCACCTTGATAACGCCGCTGCAAATATTGTGAAAGCTTTGCCTGTAGTTGCACATCCCTGGGCGGCAAAGCAAGAAGTCAAGCAGCCCAGGGCACTGCCTGTTCCCCCACAGAGATGGATGAGAGGAGAGTCAGATGGATGGGAGGCAGAGACAAGCAAGAGCAAGAAAACAGAAGGCAATCCCAAGAGCTGCCATCAACTGCTATCCTTATAAGATACTACATACTTATCCTGGAGTCCCAGCCCCCAAACACTCCATCCTTTTCCCATCTCTGCCTTCTCTTACACCTCCTCCCCACCCTTTCCCTCTTTCCCCAGTTCCCTCCTCCCTGCCTAAGTGCAATTTATCCAGGCCCAGTTATTCTAACCAGTTACTTTTATAAAAATGAAACGAAATTACATATTCTTTTCAACAAATCAATTTTCTTACTCAACAGTGCCTCCTAAAATCTTTCTAGGTCAATGGGTACACCTTTCATGGTTTTTGATGAATGCATAATATTCCACATTGCAGTGGTGGCTTAATGTATTCAATTAGTTTTTTACCAAAGTGCTTCACTTTGCTGCCAGCTTTTCACCCCTCTGAAAAATGCTGCATTTAGGGGCGCCTGGGTGGCTTAGTCGGTTAAGCGTCCGACTTTCGCTTAGGTCATGATCTCGCGGTTCGTGGGTTCGAGCCACGCGTCGGGCTCTGTGCTGACTGCCAGCTCAGAGCCTGGAGCCTGTTTCAGTCTGTGACTCCCTCTCTCTCTGACCCTCCCCTGCTCACGCTGTCTCTCTCTCTCTCTCTCTCTCTCTCTCTCCTAGAAATAAAAAAAAAAAAATGCTGCATTTAGCATCATATCCTATATTTAAGGGAAATATTTCTAGCAGTGGGATTGTTAAATCAAATAATTTTTTAAAATTTAATAGATGTCGCCATGTTGTTCCCAAAACGCTGCCATATTGTGCAGTTCCACCAGCAATGTATGAGCACCTGTTCTTTCCCCACCTTCTTCCAGGCAGAAATATTTATGGCTTATTTTAGTTTTTGCCTATCTGGTGAGTATAAGTGATGACCTCATTGTTACTTTATTCTACATTGCACTCTCTACCACTGTGTTTGAGAATCCTTCCAGATGCTCATTCGATTCGATTTTCTGTGAATTAAATGTTCAAATCTCATTTGCTGTTAGAATGTTTGTCTTTTTCTTATTGGTGTATGTCTTATGAAACATGTTAGCCCTTTATCTTTCAGCTTCTTTACAAATATTTTTCCAAAGCTGTTCCTCTATTGGTTTTAATCATAGTATTCTTTGCTCTACAGTCATTGAAATTTTCTTTTAGGTCAAAACGTTTAACATAGATGTCCTGGTAATTTTATCCAATTCTCCCGAAATCTCTGTTAATGTTCTACTTGGGTATCATATGAAATGTAGAAATTAGCATAGGGAGAATTGAACATTTTGTTATATGGGGCCTTCTCATTCACGAGCATTGTAAGTTTTCCATTTGCTCAAATTTTGTTTCACGTCCTTCAATAAGATTTTATAGTTTTTAAGTTTCCATTTATTCCTAAGTATTTTAATTATTTGTCATTACTAA